ATAAATTGTTCTCGACTTGTGACGGGGGAGGGGTCCAACAGAAGGGGGAGCGAGGTGAGGGTCCGGTGATCGAGTTGCAAGAGATGAAGGAATAACGAGGTGCAGATGTGCGTTTTCCCGCCATCGCAACGCCAAAAAGGCTCGAGAGCGTCAGCGTTGCCATCGTCGGAGAATGAGCTACTTTTCGAATGTAGAATCGCGTAACTCAGCTGGAAAGTCCACGTTTATAAGCGGTTCTTGGAAAGCAACGCAGAGAGGTGCGATAGTTTCATAAGCAGTGGCGTGGCGTGAATTGCGATATATCGATTGTTGTGCCATTTAAACCTATGGAAAAGGATCGATAAACAGGGTGCTCGCAGTGAACACCTCAATAATCGATTCTTTGCCATAGGTTTAAATGACAAAACAATCGATATAACGCAATTTACGCCACGCCACTGTTCATAAGGAATAGTTAAATTTGAGCCGACGAACGGCAGGATCGGAGGACACTCTTCTTACTATTCAAACGCGTGCCAAATTTCACAAAGTGAGGATTCGTGCAATACTCATGACCGGTCCCTGGGTCTAGGGTGGATCAAAAAGACGGTAAAGGGATCCCGTTGCTGTAATGAAGCTCCACCGATCAGTGGCGAGGCGCGAATGATAGACTATCGATATTTCCGGATTTGAAGCTACGGTTGAGAATCGATTATGAAGGTGTTCGTTGCGAACACCCTGTTTATCGATCCTTTTTCATAGGTTTAAATGGCAGATCAATCGATACATCGCGAAGCACGCCACGATACTGCCGCCGATTAATTCAATGGAGAACCGCTTTTCCACTGCTGCCCGTTCTCGATAAAAAGCTTGGAACCCACGTTTTAAGCCGCATAGTCTAAGTACTTTGGAAAAACACTCGATCGTCGATTAAACTATTACTAACGGCTAAATTTTATGAGTTTTTCGCCAAAATACCCAAATTCCACGTGCGGAAAAGACGGTGAAAAATTCTGGACTTACCTCAAAATCACGTCCCTAGAAAAAATCGCAAATCGTAAAAAAACCATTCGTGATATTAACTCAGGGCGTACCTTCGAAATTATCTCAAAATATTTCTCAATGAAGAGGGAGGGGCTTGGAGGGCAAGGCGCATAAGTGCAGTTTTTGAAAAAAATGAGCTTTTAATGATTTCAAGTAAAACTCGTCTTAATGCATATACACCCTGAAAAATTTTCTTCCCAAATTCAAGCATCAAAAAGTCAGTTTGAACTCTCTTTCCGCCCTAGGGATCCATGTAATTTTGAAACTTCAAACATGTATTTCTCGAAATAGCAAAAACTGAATTTATGTCCTTGTCCTTCGAGCCCCTCAAATCATATGTACAAATACTTGACATGATTATGTAGAAATGAAACTTAAGAAAATGGTAAAAGTGTCTTTATATTCTTCACCCATTTTCTCGGACTGTTCCCACGAATCACTCAGTTGCGAGGGATCCAACTCCGGCTTGCACTCGGAAAAAGGAAGATTAAAGAGAAGATATGATGGGGATGGAGCTAAAGGAAGGAAAACTTAACGGAATAGGATGTAACTAAACTTAATATAACTGGGAAAAGTGTTAGCTGAAAAGGGGAGGAAGTGGCAGGAGGGAAGAAAAGGGAGGAAATCAGAGAAAGGTAAGGGATCATCTCGACCTTAAAGGTCTAGAGGTTTCCGCCTTAAGCCGTCTCAACATATCACTACTATCTAGGAGGCTCGGGACTTCATTGTTGGGGTGATTTTCTAATCCGCTCTCATAGATCGTATCTAGTGCAGCAGCAAAAAAACGTGTCTCGTTTAATGATACATTTTCTCCGGTGAGCTTTATTCCTCTATCTTGAAAATGCCCGCTTTTAAGTGGATCATTGTACAAACTAGCAAAAATATCTCGTCTGTCTGGAAGCTTGCAGTTGGGTCAAATCTCACTTTTTCTTGCTCAAGTATTATCTTTATTCTCTGTCCAAAAAAAAAAAAAAAAAAAAAAAAAAAAAAAAAAAAACATGTGGCAAAATATTGGTCAATAGAAGAAGGGTTGTTCAAAGTTTTTTCCGAACTTATTTCAAAAATTAAAAATTAGAAAATGCATGAAAGTCTGAAATTCACTGACCAATGAGAGAGCGGTCGTTTTTGGTACAGTAAAGGATTGAGATGACACTAATTTTCCGAAATAGGCAGCAGGCTGCAGGTCAAAAATCTGAAAATTACGCCAAAGGGGACGATCATCAATTTTAAATGCAATCTACACGCTAATCGACGAATGCTCCTTACAAAAGAGGATAGACTGAATTGATCGCGGCGCTTTGATGCAACTATTCGTGTTTAACGAACGTGCGTATTGCCCATTCAAAAATTGAAGGCGCCTCCACTTTCTTCTTTTCTTCAAAAATGCAAGAGACTTGTCAGTTACTAGCCAATTTAGGCGCGCGCTTCGGGCGTCCGTCATATCTGGCCAAGGGGCTGCGCCCCTCTGGATCCCCGGTCACTCGCTGCGCGAGTGACATTCGGCTCACTCCGCAAGCCATTTTCCTAAGTAGTTATACATTTCATCACTATGTATAGGTTTTGGATCCAGCAACTGGTATCATTGGTTTTTTTTAAGCGTGCCTATAGGGCTCGCTTTTTGAAATCACTCGGATGTACTGTAGTACAGCACACCGATCGACCAATGCTTTTCAAGGGGCGGTCCGAATTTTTTTTCCGTCGGATCCGTTCTTTCGTTTTTGAACCGTTATAGTGTCAAGCCCTGAAGGTCATTCATCGAGAAACCGAATTATTCTGTTACTGGAAACCCTTGAGAACATTTTCCGGTCAAAACCGTATTATTTCATTTGACAGATCCTTCAAAAACCCTTTTTTACGCTAGAGCGATTTGAATCTAGAATATTTTTTCCCGCCGCACTTTAATGGGTGCTTCGTACCCATTGACTATACAACATGAGCCCTATGCATTACTCCATGATAGAATGCCATATCAAAACAGCTGATATTATTAGCTCTTGGTTCAGCGATTCATTCAAGCTCATGTCCGAAATTTCAGTTGTTCGGCACGCTTTTCCAACATATTCATGTTGGATGTTTCTCCTTGTTTTTTTTTTCTATCCAAACCGATAGGAACGTATCGATTCCCGCAAAGGTTTGCTGCTTTAACAAGAATCGATGATGCAAAGCACTTTTAAACGGGTCAAGGCAGTGTTGTCAAATTTTAGGATCTGCCTCTGCGTCTCAAATCAATTAAAATTTATGATTCCCCTTGGGTTGATTGGAAAATTACTGAAAATTCAAAACAAAATATCTGCAGCGATAATAACGTGCTCGCACATTTCGGAAATAACCAGTGCTAGTAAACAATAATTTATTGGATATCTTCCACTTATATGTACTCTGCTGTGCTAAGGAAAAACGCCGTATGAGCCTTCAGACGTTGCCAAATTTCCTTCGACAAATTACGAATTTTCGGTACAATTTGTAGATATTTTCCTTTCAATTTTTCAGAGAGCCTTAACCGTAGTTTAATCTAAAGTGTCTGAAAATTTCGAGGAAAAATAAGCAAACAGTTTTTAAACAGGAAATATTTCCTAAGGGGCAATTTGGCAACATTCGAATGCCCATACGGCGTTTTTCTACCACGGCAGTGTTAACGTGGGGATCAGAGCCTCGACAATGATTACCCCTCATGAATACTCTCAGCGGGTCAGCCGTTCCCATCCTACAGGCAAAGGGATTTCAAATATATACCCGCCAGCACCGCTGGCAAGGCATGAATGATCGATTATCGATATTTCTCCATTTGGAGCTATGGTAAAGAGTCGATAATTGAGGTCTTCGTTGGGAGCATCCTCTTATCGATCCTTTTCTATAGATTTAAACGTCAGATCAATCGATAAATCGCAAAGCGCGCAAGTTAGAACATCGCGCCGGCCGGGATTCCGGGACAAGAGTGCATGAGAAAGAGGGCCAATTATTACCCGTTCGTTCACTAACCAGGCAGCGTAATTGGTCGTCCTTATCAACTCGATCGTTTCATTTCGCGATCGCTATCATGTTGTTAACGACAGGACGGAAGGAAATGGAATTACAACTCACTCTCGTTCAGACCATGATCCAGAATCGAGTATCATTTATTTTACAATTGAGGCATGAACAATGAACAGGACCCTGGGAAAAAACAAAAGATTCTAAAATTGCAGTCATAACGAAAAATACACTTTGCTTCGCTCTGCAGGATTGGTTTTCTGTCATCTGTAATTTATTTTATTTTATTTTTTTTTTATTTTTTTTTCAAAAATAGTAAATTGACGGTGAGATAGATCTACAATTTCCACACGTAACGCTCGTATCAATAATGGTTTCCATAAAACTCGGATAAAACCTCTGTAGGTTTTACCAAGGTTCGAAAACACCGCGACACTAAATGCGTAAACCAATGGAAACGCATTAGTTTTTTTATCATTCGGCATTCAGTATATTGACGGAAAAGTTTAAAAATTCATATCCTCATCGCGACATTTAAAAATATCCAATTTTATCATATCTTTTGAACAGCAACTAATTGAAATACCTCTTTGGAATTATAGATGAATATTTTTTAATCAGTAAGGAATATTCACGAGCATCCTTAAGGTAACTGGTTGGTTTTTTTCTTTTATAGATAGTAAATCGTTAAAAAAAATTTTTTGCAACTTTATCATTGAAGATAAGCAATATTTTAATTTAACCATAAATATTTGAAGGTTTGAGAGCTAATGTTTCCTCAATCGCATTGCACCTTTTCCATAATCAACTCTTGCGTACATTTTTGGAACTTCTTGGCTTTGATTTTCCCGCAAAATGGTGTGGACCCAGCACCATTCCTCCACCTTGTTACATACAGTATTCGGACCACTTCCTAGTGTTTTTTGTTTCCTCTTGCATTTACACATCGGTATTTTAAAAACACAGAACAGTTGATGAGTTTTTAACGGTAATTTACTTTTTTCAGGACGTAAAGACTTTCTTGGAACCCAGAGCAGCGGCAGCCGTCGGTCAATCAGGACTTATGTCTCTTTACGATGCCATGTTTGCCCAATACGGAGTCAAAATCGCTCAGGTAAGTTCCAACATCTTCTCGTGAACCTAAAAAAATTAGACACAATCACAAATTCTCTAAAGAGCACCAGATCACCGATACATGCCATAGTCTGAAACATTAATTTTGAACGCTGGAATGGTATTAAAAATGATTGCAGTATCTAAGAAAAACCTAAGTTTCTTTAAGAAGGGAAAACAAAATAATATGATTGAAAGATTTCAATAAAGTAGCGGAGGTGTGTTACTTTGCATGAAAATAAAATGAAACGTAATAGCACCGTTACCAATGATGGTCACTGGACGAGAATTTCCGGTCTCGCAACTGATACTTACTTTTCCTAGCATATTTAAACATACTTTCCCCTTCTTAGTCTTTAAGAATCATCTGTCTGATAATATGTACGTCAGCAGGACCGTTATTGAACAGGGGTGCTGATAGGGGCTATCAATAATCTGTTAATATGTCATCTCTAAAGACACTACATGAGAACCCTCCATTCATGATTTATGTCCTTGCGTACCCGATGAAAGCATATTCTAATATATTCACTGGAGAAACAGCGAAGTGGCATCAATAAAATGGACGTATTTCTGCCAAACGGAACTATGTGCATGAAGACATGGAGCCTTGAGGCCCTTAAGAATATATGCATAAAAGGGCTCACGTCATAATACACATAGTTCCGTTTGATAGAAATACGTCCAAATAAGGTACTTACTTAGGCCCTCCCTCCTTTTAGGAACTGCGTATAAAAATACTGGTTGCATCCATTTAAAGGTTGCCATAGTTATGGTGTGTTAATTTTTTTGCACACAAGTTTCAAAGAAAATCTATATGTTTCCAATTGCGATAAAAAAACAGTGCAGCCCTGTCTCACGATTGGATTGAACGTATGAGTTTCTTGAACCAAGCGCTCGTTCAAAAATTGACAGGCTCTACTGCCGCACACATTATCATTTCACATTTTTTCGCGAAAAGGCTGTCTCAAGGGACTTCACTCAAATACTTTGAAAAGTATGAAACAAGATTTTAACACCCTGAAAAGCATTAAAGCATTTTAGTTCTTAAAAATTTCGATGCATTAATTTATTTTCACTTTTTCCTGTTTAAGTTTTTATAAACGTCATAGATCGCCATAATTAAATACAACTTAGGGGTGCGCCTTCTGGCTACTTGGCGGCCCCTTAGACGCTTCGCGCCTATTATATGCAAGAAAAATCAATCTATAAATTAAACAATTCGGGCTGAATCTTATTCGAATCATTTCCGCCCACTTCTTGAATTTGTACGTCATTTTTTAATTTAAACCTTGATGGTGCAACGTAAAGTCGCCTGTGGATAAAAAAGGTTCGATGTATGTAAGGTCGACTTGATCATAACTTTGACCCTGGGATTTATCAATCGTCATTGCAAATGAAAGAGAAAGAGGAGACTGGGTTAAATGACGCGCATACAAGTAAACTGGTAGGAACTATCACTAGGATCAGTGATAGTAACATTTACTGTAGGTAATAATTTAAACACAAATTTTAAAGCTGAAGAAAATGACTTTTGAGACAAGTGAAACGAATTTCTGAGCAACTCTGTTTGATATGTACCGATCAAATTCTGAGAGCACTAAGGTGTTTTCTTTCTATAGGTGCTCGTCACGAAGCCAGACTTTTACAACGAGGAAACTAGGAAGAACTTGTTCACCACCTTATCAGAGCTGCTGAGCCTCAATATCCTTCCAATCATCAATACGAATGACGCAGTGACGCCACCCCCTGCACCCGAAGCACCCTCTGGAAAGAAGGTAAGATATAGAATATTTTCATTACAGTCTATAGATATAGACTATATTAACCCAGATAGACTATGGAACTAAAAAAACGTGAATCCAGGTTTGCAACGTTGTATAGAATACTAAACGTCATTACTTGAGGACTGTTTAAATTTTTCTCCTCGGTGTTAAAAATATTCTGGGAAAATTTTAAGCAATAGTCTTTCGGTATAATAAAATCGTTGTTTCACGGGTGAAGGAACGTAACTGCAATCCAAGGTTGCCAAGCGGACGTATTTATATCTAACAGATTTATGTGCAGATGAGAAATATGGGGTGTGCTCGTCAGTTCTCTGGCCGTAAGAGTGAATGAGAATAATGAAGCGCCAGTGACGTCAACGGAGATGGATGCGGCTCCCCGGTCGTGGCTCTTCGTAGCTCCTCGGCTTTAACTCATGAGCCCTGTCCACAACGCTCTCGTCCCATGCCCGCGGCTCAAGTTGCTGAATTTAAACTCCCGCTTTTCCAATTCTTCAAAAGGAATCACGCCCACTCACCACATTGTTTCTTATATATCCAGCTTTCTAGAGCACATCCCATATTTCTCACCTGCACATAGTTCTAATTCATAGAAATACGTCCAACTTGACTCAAACAATTTGATTTTTTACAAAAATGTTAAGCCCGTGTCCCACGATCAAATGAACCTATCAAATACTCATCAAATGCAAGATGGCGGGTTCATCAACATTTGACGGCCCGCTAACATTTGATAGCGGACTTGCGCGAAAACCTGTCGCCATCTTGCATTTGATGAGTATTTGATAGGTTTATTTGATCGTGGAACACGGGGTTATAGTACCTGTTCACGTTTTGTCCGAGATTTTTCTAATTTTTGCATTAGATCAGATGGACATTCGTGAAATATTCGGCTGGAAATACCCAAGATTCTACAGTTAAAATTGCAATTTTCGAGGGGAGATTGGACAGAATCGAAATGTAGTTACGTTCTTTTGTGGGGGAAACAGCGAAATGAGAGCAGAAATTTTGGAACACCACAAACGAGAATTGCAGTTTTGAAGTTCCATTATCGATATGTATGAAGCGGGGACGCTTTTCTGAGATGTTGCGATAGATTTCCGTTCGCATGCAAGTGCACGATTCAAAGATGCTCGATGAAAGTTTTCAGGTAGCATCATACACGCACTAAATCTGCCGAGCTAAGGAATAACGCCGTATGAACCTTCAGGCGTTGCCAAATATCCTTTGGTAAATCACAAATTCTCGGGAAAATTTCTGAATATTTTTCCTCCAATTTTTCAGATAATTTTGTTCGCAATGTCACCTGAAGTTCCTGAAAATTTCAAGGAAAAACATTCCTAACTCGCCGCAAAAATAGACATGCTACGGACGGAAATTCGGAAGCTCTCGAATGTTCATACGGCGTTCTTCCTTAGCACGGCAGAAACGACGAGAAATCGAGTTTAATCATCCGCATACGAGTATCAAACATGGAATATGATCGCTAATTATGATAGACACCTCCCCGCAGAACATCGCGGTGGCGCGATGATTTCACGCACCTCCCCGCGCACGCAAAGTTATGACGTTTAAGTTTTTGAGTTGATGAAGGGAAACTTCATCTCGGCAAGACATCTTCTCGCCGCTATAAGTGTTAAAATTCTCCCGACATCAAAAGCTCACTGAGGTGAATAGTTCCATCAAGTTTCCTAATTAGTTTCATTAAGTCCCTCGACTTCTCGCGAACTTCCGTTCGCCGCTCGCCACGCACTTCCGAGGAAACCGCACTTCGCCGTTGCCAACCTTAGAAAAAAAGCATTTTCATTTACGGAGATATCGAGCAACCGCAGTTCGACGGTGAAACTGCAAAAACGCGTATCTTGCTTGTAAGGTTTCAAAATCTTCGGTCCTATTTTATTTTTTAGAGAGAGACCGAAGCAACATTATGGCTTGAAGTTCACAGAATATTCTTCACACAGAGAAGAAAAATCACTAAAATGTTTAATAAATGACGTTCAGTAGTTTTCCATGTAGAAAATAAAATATGACTGGAAGTCTGCAACGCCGCAAACAGAGATACCCATCTCTGCACCATCGATTTCTGCAGTGATAGCGAAGAAAGCAGTAAGTGTCAAATTTTCGAAATCGAGCTTCCTTCAAAATTCGTATCATCTCTTTCAGATGCAATACTGAAATAGCTAAAACAGGAAAATTCATCCTAATTGTATAAAAACAAGATGTATGAGAAAGCCGTAAAAGCGCAAAAAATGACGTAATTTCAGGCAAGACAGCAGTAAGTGACATTATTCCTCCAGAGAGCCAATGGAAAAAGTGCTTTCAAATAAAGTGCCGCCCTCTTCTGCCAATTCATAACTTGAAAATGTGTTTGTTTTGTGCCCAAAACGCAACCATGAAAGCATGCAGAAGATAGCACTTACGGCTGTCTTGCTTAACACTAGCCAACTTAATCATCAAATTGAAAGAACGTAGAGAGCAAAAGTTATAGGAATCACTATCGCGCGCTTTCAGGTGCGCAATAGGCGGTGAGACGTAAATTGTTCGCCTTCAATTGATCGGATATGCAATATGGCTACGTCCGTGCTCGAATAGTTGCGTGACCTAACCAAACCTAAGCGGTGAAACGTAATTTGTTCGCCTTCAATTGATCGGATATGCAAAATGGCTACGTCCGTGCTTGAATAGTTGCGTGACCTAACCAAACCTAGCCGTTGATATGTAATCTTCTTTTATTTGGATTTCAAGAGTTCGAAACAAATATGCAACGGTATGTTGGGCACTATCTTTATGTAGAAACATGTACTTCGGTCCTGTAACACCGATCCATGTCGTAAGTTTTGGTCTCATATTTAAATAAAGATTCAAACTTTTATGTTTTCGTTTTCGATTTGTGTTTTTTTTCCCGTATTCAAGCGAAGTCAGATCATTCCGCTCTTATGCGTGCCTCTAACAATAACTCTTTGAGAAAAATGCGAAGGCTCAGGTGTCATTACGCACTTTTGCTGAAACTCATTTAAGAAAATGAAAAATATTTTTTTTTTATGTAATTGAAACGAAATCGGTGGATTTTTAATAATCTAAATGATTTCTAAGAGTCTTTCGGATTATTAGCGGCAATTTGACAAAGAGGGGAGGCGTGCTTTCAATAAAATTTTCCGGTCAGACGCTTCTGAGCCAGTTTTTTCAAAACTTTGTTTTTGCACTTACTGCTCTCTTTGCTATCACGGAAGATTTGCAAAACTTGACCTGACGTATTCTGACGTGCTGAGAAAGAACGCCGTATGATCATTCGAGAATTGCGAAATTTCTCTGGGTAAAACATGTATTTTGGACGAAATTTATGCATATTTTTCCTGGAAATTTGCAGCTATTTCAGATTCAATCGCGAAAAAAATTGTCTGAAAAATCTAAAAAAAAAAAAAATATTCACAATTTTTCCGGTCAACTTGACTCTATTGAAGGAAATATGGCAACATTTGAGGCACACATACATTATGGCAACATACGAAACACGGCAGAGTTCCAGTTCTTAACGCCGTAAAACTCTTTTCACTAAAGCCAGAATTAGATGGAGCTCGTTAAAAGTTCATTTACTTTTAGTTTCGATCATTGATAAGTTGAAGTTTTCGACCGAATTTTCAGAAGACGTCTAGTAATACTTTGGATCTTGGCCTCCAATACTAGAGCATGTGCTCTAAGTAGAAATATTAAGAGCAGTTTTTGACAAAACTGGCCTGCATAGGCACTTGCCGTGAGTAAAAAAGTACGTACTAAAAAAAGGTGACTTCGCACAGCCGTTTGATGTATTCCATAAAGAATACAATGAAATTATAGTATATTCTGAATTACCGAAAATAATGCGGTCGAATAGTTTGGGTATTCAAAAGTTTGAATGATGCGGAGGTCCCTTAGGACAACGTCAAACTTTATGAATTGAATGAAAAGTCGATGTAAATGTTTGAAAAACTAAAAAACATTAGAAAACTGGTGACGAAGGCTGAAACGACAAAATGCAAAGCCTGAGACGTTTCGGGGTGGTTTCAACCCCTCGATCAGGAAACAAAAATAAATGAAAAATTATTAAAATCAAAATACTGAGACCCCATTTTGATTTTTATAACTTTTTACATATTTTGTATCTTTTCGAGGAGTTGAAACCACCTCAAAACGTACCGGGCTTTGTGTTATGACGATTTAGCCTTGGTTACCCTTTTCTTATGTTTTTAATTGAATAATTCGGGATATTTTTGTCCATTTTTGTATTAAAAACTTATTATGATTAATTGGCTTCTGATATATACTACGCGTTTATAAAACTTTTGCTTTAATAATACACCTTGCGGTGGAGATGGGTATTTTGTGCAATTTTGAAAGAACCGAAAGACCTTTGATGCAAGTTAATTCTATGTATGCTTCTGATTTAATTAATTTTCACAAAGCTCTTTTGATCATAAATAAATCCTTTTTTACCGCAATTCTGATTATTTTTCTATTAACACGCAGGTGATTGCCTTGAAAGACAATGACAGTTTGGCCGCTATGTTGGCTGCAGAGATTCAGTCCGACCTGTTGATCCTCATGTCTGACGTAGACGGAATCTACACACTCCCTCCATGGCAAGAGGGCTCCAAGATGATTTGGACTTACACCTCAGACATGCACGACGTTGTCCAATTTGGCAAGAAATCCAAAGTTGGAACTGGTGGAATGGACTCCAAGGTAAACCAGTTATAAATTGTCATTATTGCGGAAATCAAATTAAAATCCAAATTTTCAAAACCTTCAAAAAGTGGGGATAGAGTGCTGAGAGGGAAGTAAGAGAGGCATTGAGATAATATTTTTGGATCATCTTAATAGAAATACATTACTGTTGGGATAATATTTGAATTATTGCTATCAGCCAACAAAATAACTGATGGAGTATTAGCATTCTGATGCATGTTTCTCACCCAGAATTTTACGTGAAACACGATTTTTGCGTCGAAAATAACTGAAATCAACTCATTATTAGTATATTAACGTTTTTATTTAACATTAGTTACGGGAACTTTGAATTGCCCGGTTCCAAGAATCGCATTACTCCACTTATGAGCCAATTCGCGCGCTACAACAGTTTTAGCAAGCCTTTCAATTGAGCAATGCTTCCTCTCCTCCTTCTGTTGTTTCAAGTGTTAACAACAAGCAATTCCTGAGCCAAAGTGCTGAAATTGAGGTTGCCCTATTTCCATACCGCAGAGACTGTTGCGGCGACATTTAGTACGCGATTTGACTCACGTAAACCATCGCGCTCTCATGGGCGGGATGTTTGACTTAACGCGCCAAGAAACATTAAATATCTTGGTTAGAAGTCATTTTCAGTGATTTTCGTCGCACGAATCGTGTTCTACGTGAAATTTTGGCAGATGAACATTATCAGAATGCTTAACTTCGAATCTTGTCTAGTGGCCCGTTGAAAAATCGGGCAATGCACCACAGAGCAAAGCGCTTTTACTGTATACAATGGTCTATCGCCTAGCTTGCAGGCGCAGGACGTGATTGACTTGATAATATACTTCTGAAGCTCGTTTGCTTCAAAAGTATATTGTAAAAAGTAAAATTAAGTAAAGTAAAATTTGCTTGGATAAAGTTGAATCAGGTTCAGTTAGGATCGGATAGATTAAGTTAGGGTATGTTAGTTTGCATTATATGAGCACCCTTGCCTTGTCTAGTGGTCCATTATATTCAAAGCAAAACCTGCAAATACCATACGGGTCACTAAGACTCGTGTTGATCATGTAGAAAAAAAGTGTTAGTAATCTATGCTGCCGTGCTAAGGAAGAAAGCCGTATCAACATTCGAGAGTTGCCAAATTTCCCTGAAATATTTTTATTTTTAAGGAAAGTTATGAATATTTTTCCTTGAAATTTTAAGGAATTGTAAATGAAATCGCAAACAACATTATATATTGGGAATATATTCATATTTTGTCAATTATATTACATCATATTTTGGGAATGGAAATTTTACAACGTCTGAGGGTTCATACGGCGTTTTCCCTTAGCATGGCATTATGGGTTAAAGTTCATCACCAGCTTAAGTTCATTCACCAATCAAGAAAAGGGAGGGTACCTGAAAAAGCCGCATTAGTGATTCACTTCAATTATTTACCTAAACTATTCTCGATTTGAGCTCTCAGCGAGTGACGAGTTACGATCAAAGCTGTAAAGTCACCGATCCCGGGGTTTCTTGATTAGAAATCTGTAACTTTCGAATTTCAGGACTCGGTTTTCCGATTTCCTCAAAAGAGGCGGCATTCCGTCGGTGGTGGAGCTCCCCTGGTCCGATGACGAAATTAATTTCAATCTGGAGCTAACCACTCGAAACTCACCGGGAAGCATGAGAAAGTAAACAGCGCCTCGATTATCGAATCTTTATCGAATTAGTTTGATCGATACTGCCGTGCTAAGGAAGAACGCCGTATAAACACTCGAGAGTTGCTAAATTTCCTTTGATAAATTATGTATTTTTGACGCAATTAAGTATATCTTCCCTGGAAATTTTTATATATTTTAGATCGAATTGCGTACATAATTGTCTGAAATTTTTGGAATATAACTTTAAGAATTTTCCCGGTAAATTCGGTTTTTATCGGAGGACATTTGGCAACGTTTGAAGGCTCCTACGGCGTTTTTCCTTAGCACGGCAGGATAGCTCTCTATCTTCACGAGGCTATATATCGATCAAGGTCATTCGATATCGATTCGATTATCGACTCTCAGGGGAGAGTGAGTTGACTCCTAATTACTCTGTTCCCCGCGGTGGATCACATCAAAGAAGTCACTTCCAGAGTGCGCTTTGGCTCCTCCGCAAATACGCACCTTATGCAAATAGTCGACATCCCCCTGTAAAATCATTCCGCTGTCACCGGAGTTGTTTTAGGCAGGAATAATTAAAACAACGCGGCTCCAAGAAATCCAATAAATTTATCGTGCGCCGGCTCGAGTTCTTAATGTAACTTTTCGGGTCTCGCCGCGAAATACTCCCGCGCTTAGGAAAAACGCCGTGTGAACATTCCAGGGTTGTCAAATTTCCTTCGCTGCATGAACTTCTTTTTTTTTTGGAGAAGAGATATAAATATGTTTTCCTAAATTTTTAGGTTATTTAGGTCTGGTTGCAAATAGAATACTCTGAAAAATTCGAAGATGAATGTTCACGGATTTCCCTGAGAATTCATATTTCATCAAAATAAATTTGGCAACGTTTGTAGGCTTATACGGCGTTCTTCCTTAGCAAGACAGAGTTGAGTCTCATAGCTACCATGCTGAGGAAAAACTTCGCACTAACATCTAGACATTGCCAAATTTATCTCGTTAAAATGTTCATTTTGGAGACAAGTCATGCATATATTTCCTTGAAATTTATCAAAATTTTGAAGAAAATTCTTTCAAAAATTGGACAGAAAAATGTTCACAAGTTTCCCTAAAAATTCGCATTTTCTGAAAGGCAAGTTGGCAAGGTTGAAGGCTCTTACGAGGTTCTTCCCTTGCGCAGCAGCGTGGCTACATCTGCAACGATGAAGTAATATGCTGTTCTGGCATCAAGGATGTCGAAATTAGGTGTCTGGTAATGCCTGGTTGCTTGCTTGACTGAATCCGTATTTAGCGTGCCTTCCTTCCCATGATGTAAAGGTAACTGAACCGCGTTTAGCAGAAAGGAACCAAGCCACATCAGCGTATTCGGGCCTCGTCTTTAAATTTTTCTCCGGAATCCGAGTGACCCCTCATTGGAAGCGGATAGTGGAGTATGGTGAGTTACGCATCACGCCATCGCGCCTTCAGTTTTGCAGATGCAACACGGACATCCATCAAGTACGAATAGTTGTATCTCTGCGCCGACATCGACGATCGTCTTCTCCCTTGCTCTATTTCAATTTTATGTTCGTTCTGTTCGTCTTATCTGGACCGCGTTAAGTAGTAAGGAACCAAGCCGCATCCGCTATTGCCAAATTTAATATTTTACATGAAGACGGGTGGGCGAGATATTCTGCAAATTTCAGTAAATTTTCTGCATAGTAAATCCCTTAAAATTTTCAAAAGGTTCCGCACTAACGTTCTCTCATGAAACATTTAATTGCCCGGCTTTTAACAATACGCATTGATGTGGCTTGATTCCTTTTTGCTAAACGCGGTCCATTTGAATTTTTATTAATCTATTTTGTTAATTTGTACTTATGTTTTTATCGAACGGAACGCTTATGTTGAGATTGACTGTGCTGATTTTCTTTAATTTCATTTTTAAGGTGCAAGCGGCAACATGGGCATTGGACCGCGGTGTTTCAGTGGTGATCTGTAACGGAATGCAAGACAAAGCAATCAGGTCCATCATGGGTGGTCGTAAAATTGGTACATTCTTCACAGAGGCCGTCAACACAGTGACCACCCCAACAGAAGTATTAGCAGAAAACGGTGAGTTTAATGCCGCTACGAGAATGCTGAGGGCGTGGTGCTAAGGTCAAAGAGTAATTGCCTCGGTTAAAGCTTCATCAACAACGACGGTGCAAAGTTCGTTGTTGCCCGGACGCAGGAGCGTATCTCTATTCCAAGGTTGCAAAACTGACTGAAACAATTCAAATTTTTACAAGAATATACCCGGGCAATATTCGTCCAAAATATTCCTGATTTTTGTGTGGCGTCGGAGGAAAAATCAGTGAAATTTTCATTTGGAAATACCCAGGATTCTCCTTGTAAAAATGAAATTTGCGAGGTTAAATTTGCCTGCACTGAAATATAGTTACGTTTTTTCATCAGGGAAATACGTCGTATGAACCAGTGGCGTGGCGTGCTTTGCGATGTATCGATTCATCTGCCATTGAACCCTATTGAAAATGATCGATAAACAGGGTGTTCGCAACGAACACCTTACTAATCGATTCTTTACCATAGCTTTAAATGAGAAAATATCGATATATCGCAAAGCACGACACGCCACCGGTACGAACATTCGAATGTTGCCGATTGCTCTTCGATAAAATACTTTTTTTTCTAGAGAAACTGGAATTCGGGAGTAAATTTTTCACCTAAGTGTATTTTAAGCTAAGTTTTAGTTGAAATCATCGATACCTCAATTATTTAAAAAAAAAAAAATCTACACTTATCCTCCCTATCCTCGTAAGGTCCAGTTACACGATCAAATTGAGCCATCAAATTGGGTCTCTCATTGGTCGTATCCTCACCTCAGGTCTTCTTCCACCAATCAGAGCTTTAGTTTGATGGCTCAATTTGATCGTGTAACTGAACCTCAAGCCCCTTATTTGGACGTATTTTTACTGAAAGAAACTATGTGCAAGTGGTGTGCTGGATAAGAAACAATATAAAAGTGGATATAGTTCCTTTTTAGACAATGGAACAGCGGGATTTAACATTAAATCAAAAGGAACTCAGCGCTAAAATATGCTAACTCATGAGCCGTGTGCATGTGAAAAAAGCGTTGTGGACAGGGCTCATGAGTTAAAGACGAGCCGGCACGACAACGGAGACGGCTTCGTTGCCGCTGACGTCACTGGCGCTTTTCAATCCCCATTCATTCTTATGGCCCGAGCACTAACGAGCACACACCATCTTTCCACTTCCACATAGTTCCATTTAGCATAAATCGTCGTTTCCCTTTCGAAGGAACGTAACCACATTTCAATGTTGCCAAATTTAACCTTGCGAATTAAATTTTTTCTAGGCGAATCTCGGGCTTTTCTAGCTGAAAATCTCACTGATTTATCTTCTGATCTCTTGCAGAAATCAGAGAAAATTTGGACGAAAATTGCACAAGTACAACCTTGTAAAAAATTGAATTGTTAGAGTCAATTTTGCAACTTTGGAATGGGGTTACGTTCCTTCGTCCAAGAGGCGACGAAATACGTCCATTTCTCCGACCTAAGGTCAAAATCCTTGATTAAGTTGAACAAACGCAGGTAAGTTTGGAACCGAGAGGAAATGCCACAGGAATGTCTGGCCCTCCTCTTGCTCAATAAGATAGGAAATCTTAGTATCCCCTGGACGACGCATTTCCAATTTGGGAGAAAGGGCGGGAGTGACCCTCTCGCGTTACGGAGCTCCGCGGAACTTAAATCAGACGGGTGATGCGTGCTTCTCACAAAGCATCATTGGTGGCTACACCGAGAAGCTAGTTTATCTTCCGGCGGAGATAAAACTGCCGAAAATGCAATCGAGATCCGTGCTAGGCCGTAACAATTTGGGGCGGGCCGATCCTCGAGTCTCATTACCGTCGGAAACGGGCAGAAGAAGCACCCCAGATGCTCGTAAAAACACTGTTTTCCAAGCGGGCTAGTCAATTTCATTCGATGAGCATGGACTCCGTTGCCAAACCTCACGCTTGTCCACTTTAAAGGGGATTAAAAGCGTACTCTGTAAATAAGCAATTTGTTATACGTGACCAAGACTGTCAGACTGTTTTTGATAGCGGTAATGTAGCATTGCGTCCATGATATCCACCGTGCTCACCTATAGAATGTTCGGCTGCTCATCACGTCCAACATCTTGGACTCCATGCTCACTTTAATGGGGAATATTTTTTTCGAAAAATCAAAGTGACCATAGCTTCCAAAATTGTGGGATGCAGATATTCTCTAACACTAGACGATCATAGGTCCAAAAATGCATCAAGACAATTCGACGGTGCAAGTCGGCATTCACATAACTCGTTTGCGGTGTCTGAAAATCTCCGCAACTATGTTATTTTTTTAAAGGAGAACAAATGGACATGATTCCTTGAAGTTTTTGCAGAATTTTCCTCGTACATAGAAGAAAAATCACGACAGTTTTAAAGAATTACCGTTGAGTAGTTTTCCGTTTGAAAAATAAAGTATGACAGGAAGTCTGCGACGTCGCAAACCGAGTTATGTGATTGCCGACTTTCACCGTCGAATTTTTGTGAAATAAAGACGAAAAAAATGTGTTCTCGCAGAGAATTGTTCATTGATTAGGTTAGGTTAGGTTAGGTCAGGTTAGTTCAAGTTAGATCACATAAGAAAATTTACGATTTTCCATTATGATAAGGAATGGATGGACATTAAAACTACGGTGAGTCTCCTTGATATTGGACTCCATGCTCAAGCGAAGAAGTGAAAATTTCAGCGTCGAGCATGTAGTCCGAGATCTTGGACGCAATGCTACATAGATAATCTTGATAGCAGTGTAATTGCGAAAATGTTTTATTGGGTCCGGGTGAAGAAAATTCTATATACGGAGTCGGTCAAACTAAAAATTGCTTAGTAAAGTCTTTGATAGTTCTCTACGACTTTTACACCAAAATAAAGTATCTTACCTTGAAAGCTTTTCATGCTACCTATGCCGAACCAAAAATAAGAAAAGGTAAAAAATCAATAAGATCAATTGGATTGAAGATTGGTAAGATTTTTAGTTAGACGTCTGTAAAGGATTTGATCCTTCAAAATTTGGAAATTGAACCTGTTGAGCCCTTAGAGCTCCACTTTCATACTGGTTTGTAGTATTTCACCGAATTGATCTCCATCCCGTAACGGACCCACAATGTTGCTTAGCGAGCCGGTTTTAGTTATTATGGCATTTTTTAAATTTCAGATTTGACAATTCCTCGCATTAAAAAAGTTCATAAAAAAAGGGAGAAGCTCCTCGCGGTGGATCGAGTCATTAGGAGAGGTCGGACTTTGGAAACTTTAAACGCTTATAACTCCGTTCATACAAAACCTTGTGGTTCTAAAAGTGGCTCCATCGGTTTTCTCGTGAAATTTCCTTCTGGAAGCACTCTTTAAAATTTAAAGTGTTACGAAATAAACATCAAAATTCGCGATTTTAGTCAAAAATTGCATGCCCAACTTCTCTGATTGACTCGGTCCTAGTCCACTATGCGCCTCCTCGCCACTCTACTTGTCTTACGTGTGTGTAACTCCAACACCCACGGCTCTCACAAAAATTTGGACTGCATTTTACAATTTAGAGCTATAAATTCTGGCTCTTCTAGAGAAACACTTATGTGCATAGGGAAACTAATGGCGCATACGTTGTTTTTAAACTCGGCTAGAATTTATAGACCCAAATTGCAAAATGTAGTCCATTTAAAGTTATGATCAATCGGCAACACTTGGGAAGTCTCAATTGAGGAAAAAACATTCCTGAGGAATGTTCCTCTTTCAAATCGCTATTTCAAGCCTGCAGTGAATGCATGAATCTTTTCCTCGTCGTTTTCTCTCGGCATAGGTTATGGCTAACTGCTCAACTTTGTGGGATCAAAATTGAATTCAACTCAACACACTCAAATATTTCGTGTTTACAGTTTAAATCAAAGCTACCGTGAGCAACCGCATTTCCGACCTTTAAATGGACGTATTTCTATCATACGGAACTATGTGCATTATGACGTGAGCCCTGTTATGCACATATTCTTATGGGTCTCAGGGCTCATGTCTTAATTCACATAGTTCCGTTTGATAGAAATACGTCCAAATTATTGTGCTCGAATTTTTGCGGGGAAATGTCTGTCCGCAACCGATAAGCCGCATCGCATAGCCAAAGAATCAGAGGCAACAGGGCGTTGTGTAGCTCCAGCCCTTTTAAAATGTTATTAATTACAATTCGACGAAATTCTAATACCACTCTCAGTAACTGGAAAGGAATTTTAATGAGAGGACATAAAAGATACCCACACCGAAACAAGGCAAGAATGATCGATTATCTATATTCCCCTCAATTGCAGCTATGGTACAGAATCGATCATTAATGTGAATGCAAACACCTAGATTATCGATCCTTTTCCATAGGTTCAGATGGCAGACACATCGATTATTGCATAGCACGCCACGCCACTGACCCACACAAGATATTCTTGTAAATTCACAGAACGATGTTAAAAGTAAAAAAAAGCTATCTGGATTGCTCATGCACGTCGCAGAATTTCTGTCATATTTGGATTTTCCTTACTTCTTATTTTGAAGGAAATTGATGAATATTAAACCTTTGGATTTTGCAAAATGTCTTAATCCACTACAAAATATTCTGTAAAAAATTCCAAGCAATGAGCATCACCCCTTCCCTAGAGAGAAATGAAGCAAAATCCTCCCTTACTTTCCCTCTCGAACTTCATTTTTATTATCAGTCCTTAAAATCCAGCGACGTTAACGGTTAACCGTTGCAGGAATCGGCCTAGCAAGTTGGTGCGTAAAGTTCGCCTTCAATTTCGAGTGATACTGTGCCACGCTCGGGTGGTCGAATAGTTGCTACGCGCCTTAACCGTTGCAGGAATCGGCCTAACAAGTTGGTGCGTAAAGTTCGCCTTCATTTCGAGTGATACTGTGCCACGCTCGGGTGGTCGAATAGTTGCTTCGCGCCTTTGTGCGCTAAGTATGGGTCACGTTCATTTTTATCGCGTTCACTTCCTACTCAATGCAGACTCTCATTTTTCCATTGGTTTACCGTAT